GGCTATGTTTGCCTGGACAAGCGATATTCGTCATACAAGAATGATTATAACGTAATTCATTTAAGAAGGCAGGATCGGACGGCGAGTCTGACGAAACACCGGAGCAGGATCTCCAGCGCCGCCGGCTCCGAAGCCACCAGCTGTTGGAGGAATTGCAGGTACCTGCTAACATAAGTCGCTCACTATCGGAGGCAGTTTCAGCAAAGTTTCAGAAAGTGTGGAAATTTTTCATCAGTTTATTTACATCTATTCTAATACCATGTCTGCTGTGAACGCTACAAAAATCATCGAAATACGCTCCTCCTTGAAAATCATGCAATTATATATAATACCAACTTCAGGAACACACGATCCGAATTACCAAACTCTGGCCGGTGTCGGTGGTGACGTCTTTGGAGCAGACAAAAAAGGCGCTGAAGGAGGTGCACCGAAGCCTGCAGCTCCTGCTGTCGGTGGCATCGCTGGTAGGGTTTTTAAATGCACTTATCAAAGAATTGAAGCAGTATAGGCCTTGTCCTCAAGTACTTTACAGTCATATGGCGCCCCCATTGGGCGTCGAAATGGCCAGTCTTGGCCGGAGACACATTCAGGGTGTCCCATAAATATAGCACCGTTTTTCTTTACTTGTGATTTCTTTGGAATGAATGTATCTTTAGGAGGTTATACACAATTTTTAGCCATAAAAAAGGATAAAGGATAAAGCATTTGCCGTTGATCAATCCCTTTTTGGGATGCGGCACGCATTCTACTTCCATTTGTACATTCGTAGTGGCGTTTGAATGCGATGTGGCCTATACAATGACTTGCGGGGGCCAGCCGATGTACAAGTCAGTGTTTTTATCCTCCCAGACAAGTCTGGTACCAATTAACCGACCCCGGAGGGATGGAAGGCTTGGTTGGCCCGGGCGACTCACGACCCAGGATTTGATCCCCGGACCGCTCGCGTGGTAAGCGTGCCACTTGCCACTACACCACTTCCGCCCATTTTTAGCCATACATTTACATACTGAAAGGAATGACACACTCATTCGATATGACCCCTATTGCAGTCAGTATGGCTCCCAATTGCTTCGAACGCAACTCTACTGTGGCCCGCATGGCATCCTGGGGTGTTCCTCTTCGAAACTTTGCAGAGAAAAGGCTCTGGCTCATCCATGTGAATGCAGTGTTTCAGTGCAGGCTGTGTTCCTCTAACAGCACAAACGCCACATAATGGCCTTGGTCCGGCACGTTGATATCAAGGGATCGGAGAGCTGTGCAGTCGTGTAAGGTGTGAAATCGGAAAGAGAAGCTTGAAACTGCTTCTGTACAAGTTTTTGGATGCTATGCAGATGCTGGGCCCAATTTGAAAAAAACAGCTGTTTTCCACAAAGTGGCTCAGTTATAACTTAGTAACATGCGCTGAGATGTCCCCGTCAGCTAGGTGAAGGACTTGTTTTGGGTGGTTTTTTCTGGTTTCTTTTGCTTGTTAATCCAGGAGCTGGTCTCTTAAGCGGCACTGGTGTTTAGGCAACGGTGGTAAGACCTAGTCCATATCAATATTGCATAATGAAGGTCCGACCTGTCGGCTTGAACAAATCTCCTTCGCCTTTACATTGGCTTCCTCAGGACCTCATGGGAACATCCTCAAAGTTTGGAGACTGGCTGCGCTCCACACTGGGAATTTCGCCGTCGAAGAAAATGGTGCCCACGCAATAGCCCTATTCGGGCCTCTGGCACTAGTAGCTCTTCGCAGTCTTTGTCTCTCTGCGCTTCTCTTGTTCTAGTGAGCAGTAAGCTTGTGTCGCTTTTTCTCACAATCTTGTGAGCCGTTGAATTATATTTAAACCACTCCTTCATCTTATTTGAATCCGGTCGATGAAAGTCTCAGCGTTCTCGTCGTCTTTGCTCAGCAGAACTTGGGCTCGTGGTGGTTGAAAGACTTCTGTCCATGTCGTCTCCATGAGGGTTCCGACTGTCGCCTTGAAGGCAAATCTTCCTTGACCCCCTCAACTGGCCTCGGCTCATGCTTTTGCCGGTGATGGACGAGATTAGCAGTGAAGCTCTGCACTTGCGCCGGGTTTTGCACGGCGTAGCCTACATTTTAAAGTCCTTCTCCCCCAATAGGGCGCGGATAGGCCCCGCGGAGCGCAGTTACAATCCGGAGACCAGTGGCGATCGTTTAATTTAACCGAGAGCTCAGATCTAGCTGTGCGAAAAGATCAGATAAACTATGGATGGCACGGCCGCGGAACGGTAAAACCGTGGAGTTTGACAGTTTCCGTTGGGCCATTGCAGCAAGAGGAGGAATTAATAAGTAGATGCTGCCAATTTTGGCGGGAGGGGAGAAGAGTTTCAACACTCAACAAAAATTGGTAAGCTCAAATGCTGATGGCCAAGTATTTTATAGGTCACCTGTACTTCCATATTTGCGTGCAGCAATGGTAAGGCAGACAGCGTAAACATCGCATGGGAGGTGCCAATTAATGGGCGGCTCATTGACCTTCAAGCATACAAGAACGCCTACTTGTCGGCCTATTGTTCACTATCTGCTCTCATTGAACACTGTTTTTATTTCTTGTCAATTTCGTTTCTTGATCATTTCTGACCTTCTATACATACTGCTATGGAAGATCTAGAAAATCCGCTACGGAATAGCAGCAGTTCTCATTCCATGCTCCATCGGCAATGGGTTTTATAAAAAGTCGGTGAATAAACTGGGCGCATTCCAAAAGGCGAAAGTCGCGGATTCGGAGTTTGACCAAACCAACCCTTTCGGTCGATCATGCCTGTACTTGGTTACGCACCCGTAGAGATGTTCCTCACACTCAAACCCGAAAACGGCGCAGTAATAAGGCCCCAGGGCATATACTATGCGCTATCGCCGCCTGGCCCCGCTACGACCGCCCACCTTGGGATGTGGTGCATGGCTGGCATAACGTGTGAAATCAGCTAGGTTGATTGCCGTATCAACCGAACGACTGATATCTTCAGAAAACTTGTTTGTACGTGCCTCTTTCCCCAGCCAGCCTCCTTCACTGCTAGTGGGAAAGAGGGTTTTGTTAACGGCCTTGTCGACGGTTTTTCTCAGTTTTTTCTCCACTGTCGTTCCACTTCGCATCTCTATACTCAGTTTCAATCGCCATAATACCCCCTTATTGAGCCCGACTTTTGCCTTTAAAGCGATATACTGTGGGTCTGAAGAAGCACATCCAACCGATATAGCAGTAGCTAGGTGGCAAAGGAGGCGAGATGTGGCGTTTTCTCAGCGCATGATGAGGTGATTGCTGCACAGCACAGGTGTCACGGCACATTCGTGACACCAGTGGACAACTATCCCACCCAGAAAAGGTTCTTCCACAAGTTCTTACCCGGTGTCCTGCTTCGAGTTTGTCTGAAAAATCAACCAAAGTATGATGTGCGTGATGATGATCAGCTCTATCGAGGAAAATACCCATCCATGCAAGCATGATTACTGATTTTCTCGTAAATAGACGATAATCAACTGCCAAAGAGGTCCACATGTCGCGTAGTCTTGTAGAATTTTTTGCTTCTTCACCCAATAGCGCGAAGCATCCCCATTCGACTGCACATGCTTATGGAATCTATCACTTCACTGTGAAAGTTCTCTCCGGATCGAACCTGTGTAGAGTAAAATTGAGCGTTGCCATGTCATTGCGGCAACAAAAGAAGTGACCGACAATCCAAATTTCAAATGAAGTGGTGCTCGATTTCTTGGTTTCTAAATATCAATTACAATAAGAGCTGTTCCAGGAACTCACGATCCGAATTATCAAACCCTGGCTGGAATCGGGGGAGATGTGTTTGAGAAGAAGGACGGTGGAGGAGGAGGTGGAGGTGGTGGTGGTGGTGGAGGAGGAGGAGGTGGTGGTGCAGCACCCAAGCCTGGAGCAGGCGGAATGGCTGGTGAGCTATGTTATCCACAAATTGGCAAACATAGCTTGGACTTTGATAATTTGATATTCCTTTGAGAATTTCTTAAGTTATTCAATGAAACCACTTTTTCTGGTTCTTTTACACGAACTTTATCGCAATCATTCAGGAACGTACGATCCCAACTATCAAACCCTTGCCGGAATAGGAGGTGATGTATTCGGTGCCGACAAAAAAGGTGGTGGTGGCGGCGGTGGTGGAGGTGGCGGCGGTGGCGCTGCACCCGGTGCACCCAAACCTGGTGCCGGGGGAATGGCTGGTAAGAAAGCGTTTTCTTCTCTTCATTCCAACCAACTAGTGGCTCGTATTTTTTCACTAGGAACGTATTGAGCTCATCAACAATTTCACCTAGGTACATTTGATCCGAACTATCAAACTCTTGCTGGAGTTGGTGGCGATGTATTTGGAGCAGACAAGAAAGGTGCTGGAGGTGGAGGTGGAGGTGGCGGAGGTGGTGGAGGAAAGCCCGTAGCTCCTGCAAACCAGGTTAAGTTGTTCTCCGTACTTATGATGACTAGTTACCTAGGATCAGTTTAGGCATTCAGGATATTGACTTAAAAACCCTGCTCAAAAAATCATAGCTATGGCTTAACATCTTTTGGGTGTCATAGGCTGATCTTGAAAAATGGTTGTCGTAGAAAGTTGTGAGCATTTCCACAGCGGACGTGAGTGCACCGAGCACTGGAAGCCTGCCAGAGCATAGCGCACTGCCCATACAACAAATTTCTGTGTGTGGCTCACTTTACACCGATGTTCTAGGGTGCAAAAGCAGCTACCCATGACCCGAACTACCAAACTTTGGCTGGTATCGGTGGCGATGTATTCGGAGCGGACAAGAAAGGTGGTGGAGGAGGTGGCGGAGGTGGCGGAGGAAAGCCTGTAGCACCTGCAAACCAGGTGAAGCTGTTCTTCCTGCTTCCAGAAGCCACCCCTTTTCAGGACAGAGCAAGAATTCTTATGAAAAACCGCTCCAGAGAAATGTAAAAATGGTTAAACATCTATCATACAGTAATGTGGAAAAACGTAATTGGCTCTCACTTTTCCTGAGCATTTCCAGTTGGGTGATTAAACCCATGTTGGGAGGAGAAAAGGTGGAAAGTGGCGTAATGGCAAATGTCACCTTTTACCACGAGCATGGGCCATCAAATCTTGGGTGCTACTGGAACGTGGCTCATCTTTCTTCTGGGAGTGGTCATTGCTACCATACAAGTGTGGTAGGATAAAACCATGACATGTACATTAGCTGTCCTCCATCGTTATGTATCTAGGGTAAATCTCATTCTAAATGCAACAAAGATCCTGGGTGAAACTAGAGCGGGGCTCGTCGCAAAAAAGGCCAGAGTAGCGCCGATCCTCATCCACTTGAAATTCTTCAACAGCCGATCTAGTTTGGATCTAGCGATGTAAGCCACGAACGGGACACAATAGATGAAAAAAAAGAAATTTGCCCGTTTCCCTTATTCATAAGCGATTTTCTAGCAAGCGAAAGCGGGTACTTTTGATCCGAACTATCAAACCTTGGCTGGAGTTGGTGGCGATGTATTTGGAGCGGACAAGAAGGCGGCTGGAGGTGGCGGTGGAGGGGGCGGAGGAAAGCCCATAGCTCCTGCGAATCAGGTTTGTGCGATTTTCCTTTGTTTCATAGGTTTTGCTTGGATCACTAGCTATTTAGTTCTTAAGTGACTAATCCTATATAACATTCAGGGCGCCAAAGCCGG